TGTTTCATATATAAAAAATATAAACTATTTAATATAAAATTGTGTGTGTATGTGTGTGTGTGTGTGTGTGTGTGTGTGTATGTTAATGCTGTCAATCTCATGTCTGTCAATGCTGATTTAAAAAAAAAATAAAAAATTAATCCCACATTTTCCTGAAATTAATCGTGATTAATCCCACCTAACATTAAAGTTTTTAAAGGGGTCATATGATGCTGTTAAAAAGAACATTATTTTGTGTATTTGGTGTAATGAAATGTGTTTATGCGGTTTAAAGTTAAAAAAACACATTATTTTCCACATACTGTACATTATTGTTTCTCCTCTATGCCCCGCCTTTTTGAAACGCGTCGATTTTTACAAAGCTCATCGGTCTGAAAAAGCGAGGTGTGCTGTGATTGGCCAGCTATCCAGTGCGTTGTGATTGGCCGAAACATGATCCAACTCATCAGTTTGTTAGAGACTTAAATAAATAATTTTTCCTGGTGGCTAAAGAATAAGTTCACAAGACAGTAAGACAAGAAGAAAAGCGAGAAAAACGTCGTTTTACAGACACCGTAAGTAAGCCGATCAGGAATCAAAAATGACTTTATACACTGAAAAAAAATGGGTGTAGAATCAATTTTCACGTAGGTAGTTACTTAACGATTATAATTATTCGTTCATGATGATCCATTAAAGTAGAAAGTTATTTTAAAGAAAAGTAAGGAAAAGACTAGACATGTTTTCAAGTAGTTATTAGACGTACATTTAAACAAGTTTCTCCTTCTTAAAATCACAGCTCAGCCTTTCTCTGCTCCTGGACCGTGTCTCCGCCTTCTCTGCTAACTCCATTCCAGCGTGTTTTTAACCTCCTCCCATTTTCTTCTCTGATGCGGGGCTGTCCCAACAATAAGAGCACACCTCTTGTAGCACAGCATTACGGACAGTCCGTGGAGGAAGACTACGCTGACTACGCTGAAGGCTTTGGACATAGAAGCGTGAGATCTGAGCCGAGCTGTTGCCCCACAGCGGGCAGATCTGATAAATCGGGGCAAGATGTGGGTTTGGTACTTTCTGCTCGGTTCGGGAACGCGCACGGGCTCGGTCGGTGAGTCGCTACGCCTTCATCCATTGTTCTGACGCTCCTTCTTTAGCGCCATTAGTGCAGCAGTTGTTATAGTGTTTCAGGAGTGCTCAGTCATCGCAGCTGTTGCATTTTCCTTCAGAAGTACTAGCAGCATAACTTTTGTTACATTAAGTAACGGGTTCGTGAAGCACACCGGCATTAACGTGCACGCGCCCCCCTCCTGGGGACTTTTTTTTTCCCTTTAAACGATTAGTTATTTGAACCAAATGGAGTTTGTGATTTACTGGGTGGACGCAGGAGTCGACATGCCTGTGCAGCTAACGCAATTATAAATACATAGTTCTAGCATTTCCCTATTTTCTTTTTTCAAAATATTACTAATGAGATCTAAGCTCATGATGGAGTGTCTGTATCTGCTGAAGGTCACCTGAACAACAACCATTTAATGGTCAGATAAACAATGCTATAAGGATCTTTTCTATTGAAATGATTTTTGCATCAGAGAGTTATCATTATAAGAGCATTTATAACAATAGAGGAACAATATTTTTGGATTGTGACAGTTTTGTGGTTAAATATGTTACATTACCAGTAATAGGGCCTCTTTATAAATGTGAACATGCCTAAATTTATCAAGCAACATAAATTTAAATTATTTTATTGCAGTGTAAGGCTTTTAGTAGTCTGGCAGACCCAGATAAATATTTTCGACAACATAGCATGTAATTGATTACTTTTTATTCTTTTCTGATTAAAGCTGTTTTGCATTCATGACAGTTGGACAGCGCTACCATGCAAGTGATCTATAGCACAAGTTCATGCTCTTTATAGGCAAAACTCACCTTTTGCATCTATGATTTCTCAATTTATGGCACCTTTGCACAGAGTTTATGTGCATTTTATACACAGTATCCAGTTAAATTCATTGATCGATTAGCAGGAAGTGGCAGAGGTTTTAAACACACTGAGGAGATCAATGCCTGACAACTCGATTGTCGCCTCTTTGACTCACCCACTGGTGTGAGGTAAGCAGCCGCTTAGGGCCCCAAGGAATCAGGGGCACCATGTGATTTGGAAAAACAGATTTGGCAAATGCTCCAGTGTATATTTGTGTTTGTGTAGACACAATGTAAATAAGATTTTCATTGTAAAGTGTAGAGCTTCTTTGAGTATAACTTTGTGAGATCGTAATTATAAGGGGAGTGCAATAATAGTAAAATTGGTATATTATATTATACTGTATTGGTATATTATATATTATTCATTCCCAATAGTAATGAGTGTCTCACCTCAGAGAGAAAAGTAAACGCATACTTTTGAGATTTATAGGCCTTGTGTTTTGTGTCATGATTATAGATGATCGCTAATGTGAAGGGGTAAATAAACTTGAAGCTATGAGCAAATGAAGGTTACAAAAGTAAATGAATGCATACTGTAGTTGGTGTTTTGGGCCCCCAAATCACTAAGTCCGCCCCTGGCACGGGGCCTGTGGAAAACGAGTTGGAATAGCTAGATAATTGAATTTGTGCACATAACAGACATGACTGTCATCAGCTACAGTGCTTGCTGCTTCAATCTGTTATGCAGCACGAGTAGATCTAAATATAATACCATAATCAACTATTTTCACAATTAGTTAAGCTGTAATAGTTCAAATGTAGTAAAATGTTTAAAAACAGTTCCACATGTAATATCATGCAAAAAGTTAGCCAATCATAGTAGTAGGCATTTACAGTGAAGTGTTAAAGGAGACACACCCTTTAAAGCCAAGTCAAATCACCTTTATTTTTATAGTGCTTTAGACAATATACATATTGTGTCAAAGCAGCTTCACGGAGACAAACAGGAAAACATCAGATTCAGATTCTGCTGTAAAGCAACTTTAAGACAATAGTGTCATTGTTTATGTCAAGTCAATTTATTGGTTCCGTTCAGAACTACTTGAACCAGTTCGAAAAAATGGACTGAACCCTCTGAAACAGTTCCCGACTCGAGCAGCACAGATTGTACTAGGGATCAAGTTACTAGGGCTGGGCGATATGGCCATAAAATAATGTTTCAATATTTTTTAGCTGACTTGCGATATACAGAATATATATTAAATTAACTAATTAATCGAATCGTTCTGAAATTAATCGCGACGCAAATCCCACCTAACATGAAAGTTTTTAAATGTACTTTTATATTGCAATAATTTCACATTCAATCTTCAAATTAATGTACAAACAACATAAAGACAGTATATTTTAATATTTGTTTAATGGCATTTTTTTATGACTGAAGGCCAGTATCACTGATACCAATACTACTGATGTCTCTATAAAATAGTTTTTCCCCCTAATATTTAATTACTGACTATAGCCATTCAACATTACAGTATAATTGAGAGCTATCAATTTTAACATTTATATGACTTTAAAAAATTACTTCTAATTGTGAACTTAAAACAATCTTCACATAAACCCATTATAACAAATGTCATATTTACCTGTGCCCTTCAGCAAGTAGGAAATACACAGAAATTGAATAAAGTTGTCAGACGCTAAATTCTAAATTAGATAAAGATGAATCCTTAAAGCTATAAAAGTTATTGATTTCCTCTTTTATATTTTGTTCTTTCATTAACAAGACATCACAGCAGCTGGATTATTAGGTTATTTTGGCTGCTATTACTTTAAGAGCTGCCGCTGCTGAACATGACGCGGATCTGACACGCATCGTATTTTCTCACGTTCTAAAGTCTCTTTACCTTTTCTGAGTATTACTATACATATTTTAATTTATTTGGCACGTTTTGGTAAAGTACATTAATCTATTAAAACTGTGGTCAGAATTGTTTATGATTTTGTTTTTTATTTAATTTATTAAATTAATTACAGTGTATAATATTTATAATGCAGAAAATTACAGTGAATTATTTTTACACTGTATTCATAGTTATACCTTTAAAATCATCATGAAATTGCATTTGCAACCCATTTTATTTAACTGTAACATATTTTGAAGTGAAACAGGATATTCAACAAGAAAAATCGGAAATTGATTGGATGGTGAAAACTCATAATTTTTGATCCAGGTGGTTGGAGAGGAGGTTGAAAAATAGGACTTGGTGACATCCAACAGCTGAAACGGAAATTGCTTTGAGATACAAACAAACATTTTTTGGAAAATGTTCACCGTTGTACCATTTACAGTAAGACAGGAACATCTATTATGTGTTGATTTCACATTGACCTTCAAAACTCTAATGCATTACATTTCCAACACACGATTACACAATATAACCAATGACATTTAGCATTAATAGTGTGTTTTAATGCATTATACACTTAAGGTAATACAATATTAAAGTCTTATGTATAAGTGTATATTCAGAAACAAATAGTTTAATTGTAGTACCACAATACTACCTTTTTCCTCCTGTTTACATACTAAGTCAAAGCCTCTCTATCTCTCTCTGACATTTTATTTACACTTCAGAGACATCCTTTTTTTTCCAAGTCCGCCTCTTTCAGCTTATCTCTTTTTTTTTTCCTTCTATTTTTTTTCTCTTCTTCCTGTCTTTTATGTCTCTCCACTCATCCCAGACAGTGCATCAGTCCATGCTTCCATTGCATTGGTTTTATTCTCCATTTGTGTGGCTGCATGGAGCCGAGACTCTGATACAGAGATCAGCAGCAGTTGTTTAATCCCTTCCCCTCCTCCTCCTCTTCCTCCTCCTCCTCTTCCTCTCCACTGCCTTATATTCATGAGGGAGAGAAAGCGGCCCCCTGCAGTGCTGCCATACACGCTCCTCTCTGTACACCTGACCAGAGCTGGTGACACAAGCCCACAACCACAGAGAGAGAGAGAGAGAGAGAGAGAGAGAGAGGGTAACAGGATGAGGGACGTGCTACAGCTGTCTCTGTGACAGACTCGGTGTCTGCTGCTGCTGCTGCCGATTGCTCTACAAACTGCCTCTGTGTCCGTGCTGTCCAGATACAAACTTGTTCATGTCGTTTTGCCTGGTCGACTTTTTTGACATGGAGTCGCCCACCAAAGAGATTGAGGATTTCGAGAACAACTCTCTGAAGTACCTACAAGCGGATCAGATTGAGAAGATCTGGCTCAGACTGCGAGGACTGTGAGTAGAGTTTTATACTTTCTGTCTCTGTGCATGAGTGAGCAACGTGTATTTGAATTAGAATTTTACTAAAAAGCAAAAATCTAAATAACACAATATTAATAGTAATGTTTTATAAGAATATGAAGTATAAAAGTACAAGAAAATCATATTTTTATGATGATTTATATTTTATTATAATTCTAATTATTTTAAATTAAGTTTAATAGAGTCTTAATAAAAACAACCTGAAATGAAAATAATATAACATTATAAAGAGTAAAGGATTTGAATATTAAATATGATAATTGTAATGAATAGAAATTGCTAATAAATTAAGAATTAATCAAAAAATTTATTGTGAGATAAATTGTTTAAAATATTACTTATTTTCACACATGAAGTAAATTGAATATAATGCACTACAAAGTGTAAAAATATAAAGATATAATAATTTATTACAAATTACAAAATATAATGGTAATATTTCATAGCAATATAAAGTATAAAAGTATAATATTTTAACAAAAATAAATCATTGTGCGGATAACTGAGTCGTAATAAAAGTAGCAAGGAACAAGGATCTTACATTACAAAAAGCTAATAAATGAATATTTAAATATGATTATTTTAATGAATAAAAATGCTAATAAATTAAAATTAAGAAAAAGTTAAACTTAAATTTTAAGAATTAAGTAAATGAATTATACAGTGCAAAGAGTAAAAGAATAAAATGTGTAGAAAGTGTGTAGAGTTAAACTTACTTTTATAGTACTTTTCATGTTTTTATTGGGTGATTTGCAGTTGATGGCTTTCTAATGTGATGCTGACATATTTGTGGAAGTGAGATGCAGGTCAGGGTTAACGGGTCACTTTCAGTACAAACATCCTCTTCATGTGTGGCTGGTTCCCAGACGCAAAAGCAACCTCATCTTCTGTTAAAAGTGTTTCCAGTTGATCGCTATTTAGAATGCATTTGTTTGAAAACTAGGCTGCCAACGGATCCAGCATATTAAAACAAAATATTTGCAAAGTGCAAGTATTTGCGGAGGAATTACAAAAGGCAAATGTAATGTTTGAACTTGTCACTGAAGCTAGATCAAGAAAATAAATGCACCAAAATAGACCAAACCGAAAGATCTGAAAATTGCACGCCTTTTTTCTTTGAAGACACAAGAGTTTTATTAAAATGAATTCTTGTCCTGTGATCCAGAGGCGAAGTTCAGGTGCTAATGATGAGTATAATGTTGCAGAAAAACATGCCTGTGGATGACTTTATTAGCTGCATGTGCAACTTATTTCCTATGGCCGTCTCATTTCTTGCCAATAAATGAAATGAATCGCTTCTTCTGAATTTATGTGGACAGTAATGACCGTGTATGTTATCACAAGGGGATTTTATTGTTTGCCGTTGCAGTGATTGATCTAATCCTTCACTGTGTCATTCCACATTAAGCCGCTGAATGCTAATCCCTGTTATAAACGGCAAAATATCTTCCAGGTTTGGTTTTAGATTTATGACAACTGCGTTCGCTGTGACAGTGGAGTCGCTGTCAGCCTGGGGTCCCTGAACCCAGGTGGAGAAGTCAGACAGCTGTTATTTGTCCAGAAACAAGGGCCATCAACATTGTCATAACGGCACCGGTCAAGAGCAGGGCGAGATTGAACCGAAGTCATCCTGTTTCCAGCTTTATTTCCCTTTTAGGCCCATTTTATTGAGCTTATTAAGAATTTAATTGTGCACTTGGCAGCTCCAAGGGAAATGAGACCCCTGTCGACACCATTGGACACCGAGAAAAACACACATCTATAAAAGTTTAAGGCTGTAATAAAGGCAGGCGTTTTCTTCGCGGTAGATTAGATGGGCAGAGAGAAAGAGAGGAAGACGTTTTGATGATGAAGATGACAGGAAGTTAAGGTTAAAGGTCGCTGATCACGTAAATAGCAGCGATTGTGTGTTAGTCTCACTAGACTCTTCTGAAGGTGATGTCATCTATCTAATTTGACCAATCAGAACATCTGTCTTCATATGGCTTGAGAGCAGCTGCAGTTGAGATGTTTTACTGAACGCTGCTTTAAAAGAAGAGGCATTTCCTCTCTACGTGCAAAACAGAGCGAGCATTCATGCACTAACTGGATTTAGATGACCAAATGTTCAGATGTCTATAATAAGAGGGTCATTGTTTTCCTTTTTTGCACAAATGTTCATGTGCGCCTTGATTCGAACATTTGAATCAATTGAGTATTTGAACTCTGTATAACCGCTAGATTTGACTTTTTTGGAAAGATTGTTTACTCTGATTGCCTGTATATCAAATGGCTAGTGGTCATACTTTTCACTCCAGTGAACATTTTTCAGGGTAGGTTTATTAAAAAAAAAAAAAATCATATATAAACACATGCATTAAAGATGTGGCAAAAAAAAGCTATTGAAAAAAGTTAGTTCACTTGATATTTTATAGAAAGTCCTTCAAAATGGAAATGAAATTGACGCTGAAGATTTACTGTTTACGTCTTGAAATTTGAAATGCAAGCAATTAAAAAAAATCTGTATTTAAAATGTTATTCAATAGATTTTTTTAAATTCAAATTTAAACAGTGAGACAATTATGAAACTCAAAACAATTCATGAAATGAATGTAACAAAAACATTAAAAAACTAAACTAAAAATTAATAACAAAAAAAATTTAAAACAGAAATGAAATTAATCAATTATAATAAAATTGCCTGAATATAAATGCATGAAATTCACAAAAACATCATGCTATTTTAAGGTAAAATACATGTTTGAGTATTTGGACTTTTGATTCAAAAACGTATAGTTGTTGAAATATATGTCTGCGTGACAACTAGCCCCAGTGGCCTTATATACTGAATCTAATTTGCATTTACCTGAACTGTAATGTCCATATTTTTTTGTTTCAGGCGAAAATATAAGAAGACGTCACAGAGGTAAGATATTCACTCGGACTAGTGTGAATACAACAGATCTCATCATCTCAACATGAAACATGAGCTGGGAAAATGAGCGAATAAAACTGTTTGCGAACAATTTGTATAAACTGAGGTGTTTTTTTCTGCTGAAAATCGGTTGTAATCAGAAACCACATCTGTTGTACGTAGGTCTGGTTTTCCAAAAGCAGAACAGGGTTGTGGCATTGTGTTTAATTACTGGTTGTCAGTAGGAAATAAACAGCAGTTTTCTTTCATTATCACAAGTGAGTGGAGCGCAGTTGTGCATTAGCATATGAGAAAACTTACAAAACTGTGCTGTGATACCATGATGGTAAAGTGAAGGATTTAGATAATAATACCATAATGCATAGTACATTTTATATATGGTATATGGAATTACTACAATTTAGTCAGTGGTTATTTTTTTGTTTTTGAAAGTAGTCTCACCAAGGCTGCATTTATTTGATCAAAAACACAAAATTGTGAAATATTACTATAATTTAAAATAACAGTTTTCTATTTGAATATAGTTTGGAATGTAATTTATTCCTGTGATTCAAAGCTGAATTTTCAGCATCATTACTCCAGTCTTCAGTGTCACATGATCCTTCAGAAATCATTCTAATATGCTGATTTGCTGCTCAGACATTTCTTTAAAAAAGTTGTGCCGCTTAATACTTTTGTGGAAACTGTGATGCATTTTAATGGACATGTATCAACATATGCATTGAAGTACCATATATAAATACTGCAGTTCATATATTTTAATCATCCAGTTCCACAGTATATTTCAAAGTACTGTATCATTAGCATTTGGTACCTTCACTATACAATGGTACTTTTTTACAAGGGAAAGCTTGTGATATTTTTGACCCTTTAGTCTATCTCTGTGTGTAAGGGTATATGTCTCATATACAGTATATCAGTCTAGCTGTTTATATTTGAATGTATTTGAGAGACACACTAAAACACAACCCAAATAGAACAGATACAGACGTCCTCTGACATCAACCAGAGACTAAACAAAAAAAGCTTTAACCGGTCAGTGATGACAGTGACACACACACACACACACACAGACATAAACAGCCAGCAGCAGATGCCTGTCCTTCCCTTCTCACTGTGTCTTTTGTGTGTGTGTGTGTGTGTGTGTGTGTGTGTGTGTGTGCGCATGACAATGTCTATGTTTTTCAGGCTTTGATGGTTTGGCAGGGCAGTGTTGGAGATGTCAATGACTGTGTGTGTGCAGAGCTGGAGGGAAGTGTGTGTGTTTGTGTGTTTGAATTGGGCTTGAGGGAGTTATGCTTTATGAGCCCATCAAGGTGAAAGGTCACGGGCCGTTCAGACTGTGACATTTTCATCTGTCTTGATAATGATTTTTGTTTCACCAAACCCAGTTCGGGAAGTTATTTTGTGCCCAGTCTCAAGCTTAGACAGCACAATATTTTTTTTTTTGATGAACTTCTAAATGGCACACAATAACAAAACAAACTCAGTTTGGTCACTTCACATGTCCGTCAAACAATCTCTTCCTATATAAGTGGGCAATTGTTGGTTGTCATAAGCTCCAGTGTGAACTACACACTATAGTCCAAAGTTTGGCTATGCAAAGCTATTTTGTGCTCAGAAGATTGAGTGAGAATATTTGATAAGAATCAGCTTAAATCAGCATCGTCCTAATTTGTTTCTTATGTGTATATTTATACGGAATTGGGAAGAGTGATGTTTTCTCAGGCGAAATACGGCGCTGGTGGGGCTGTTTGTGGCAGCTGTTTAATTTGATGTAATTATCACCATCACTCCATTCCTTCACAGGATTTATGTCTCCTGATGATTAAGTCATGGGAGATTCTTGCGTGTTCAGGTAAATCTCTCGTCCACACTGCTGTGCAGTGAAGGAATTTCCAAAAATGTGTATTTTGCCATAATTTATTAATCCTCATGTTTTTATTTCTTTTCTGAAGAGCTCAAAAGCAATTCCAACTCTTTTTCATGCAACAAAAATGGATATACTGCTAATCTCCAAAAAGGACCTAAAAACACCATAAAATTAGTTGGTACAACTCGTGACTTTGAGTTGTTACTTGCTGAAAATCTTGAGTTTAAAGGTCTTTGCACACTGAGTCCGAAATTTTCGTATGCGTTTTTCTTTTTTTTCATATTCGTCATCCTTTCCTATCAAAATGCTTGTTACCATTTCTTTAAAAAAGTTGTGCCGCTTAATACTTTTGTGGAAACTGTGATGCATTTTAATGGACATGTATCAACATATGCATTGAAGTACCATATATAAATACTGCAGTTCATATATTTTAATCATCCAGTTCCACAGTATATTTCAAAGTACTGTATCATTAGCATTTGGTACCTTCACTATACAATGGTACTTTTTTACAAGGGAAAGCTTGTGATATTTTTGACCCTTTAGTCTATCTCTGTGTGTAAGGGTATATGTCTCATATACAGTATATCAGTCTAGCTGTTTATATTTGAATGTATTTGAGAGACACACTAAAACACAACCCAAATAGAACAGATACAGACGTCCTCTGACATCAACCAGAGACTAAACAAAAAAAGCTTTAACCGGTCAGTGATGACAGTGACACACACACACACACACAGACATAAACAGCCAGCAGAGCAGATGCCTGTCCTTCCCTTCTCACTGTGTCTCGTCATCCTTTCCTATCAAAATGCTTGTTACGGATGCGAAAACGCTGAAATTCGAACCCGATCCGAATTTTTTAATGACGGACGAATGTTTCGGAGGCAGTGTGTAAACATGATTGACACAACATAAGGTCGTATTTATTTTTTAACGTGCAAAAATTTCGGACGAGAATTTTGGACTCAGTGTGCAATGACCTTAAGACCCAAGAACCAATGACCATTGGCAAAAAATAAAAATAATAAGGGTTTGTAGCAGCTTGAGGTTGGATAAATGATAGCAAAATTTAAATTATGTCCAATAAATTTATGTAAAATATATCTTTCATTGACTATATACCAAACCAGCACCTAGTCCATTGTTTGGCAACCTCACTGACATTTGGAATTATTATTGTTTTGATGGCAAAAAAGTGTGTCATGTTGCTGATTGTAAGCATGTGTGATGTATTTTATAGCTCCAAGAGAAACCACATTCTAGTTCTAGTACATTCAAATTCAATTGGGTCGCTCACACCGCACAGGTTTTGTGGGTTTTTTAGCATTGGCCAAATGGTCTGCTACACACTATCAGTGGGTCACGCATTGTGGTTTGAGTTGGGTAGGGCAGTGCTTGGCATGCCATACAGCTCGTAACTAAATGTGATGGGCTGCGTGACTGTCGGAAGGACTGTAGGAGATAGTGTGGCATACAGATGTGATGGACTTCAACATTTCTAAGATTTTCCTATCAATAGACTAGAAGAAGTTGATCTTCATTAGTCCAATGTGCATAAGTTTGCCAACCCATCTCTGTCATTTGGCTATTATTTACATTTCACACTGTTTTACTGTGCTTCAAAAAGACAGGCAGCTAGTCTTTCTCTTACAGACCTCTTAGTATTAGTCATTTCTCGATGCTGTTTTGATTTTAAAGTTGACTGGTGAGGTCTAGATCACCATTACAGTGTTGAACTTCTCAGATGTAGTTGAAGAGATGTTAAGTGTTTGGTTAGTGCACAGTGCTTTTGATGGGGAGGAGCAGTTGGCTGGCAGAATTTTGAAGATAACATCTTACAGAACATAAAATCTTACAGAACAATTTTTTCTTGAGCAGAAAATCAGCATATTAGAATGATGTCTGAAGGATCATGTGATACTCAAGACTGGAGTTATTATGCTGAAAATTCAGCTTTGCCATCACAGGAAAAAATTACTTTTTATTTTATCTTTAATGTCACACTTTTATTTTATTTTCACTGTATTTTAATGCTTTATATTTTATTGCTATTGTAACTTGCGTATTTGATTTTGAAACTTGTTAATTGTTATAACTATTATTAGCTGCCTATCTTGGCCAGGACAAAAGCGATTTTTAATCTTCTTTAAAGGCACAATATGTAAGATTTTTTTATTAAAATATCCAAAAACCACTAGAACAGTGTTATATATTTTGCTGACTTGTGTTCTTACATTATCCCAAATGTTTCGAAGAATGTTTAAATTCAGAGAAATAAGCAATTTTAACTAGTGACACGGACCGTGTCCATAGTGTCATTGTGTCGCCTGCTTTCAAATGTAACTAGTATGATAAAACAGCGCTGCTTTTTTTTCCCCCACATACACACGACCAGAAGGAGCGGAAGCGGTCGACTGTGGCATAATAAAAGCTCCGCTGCTTCGAGCCGTGTGTCGCACTCGTTCAGCGGCCTCGTTTCGCTTCGACGGCTTTCAGCCTCACCCTGCTTCATTCTACTACGTTAATAAATCATTAGCTCATCCATGAACATGATTTCTGCCCGAGTCCCGTCGGATTGCATCGGCTGTGGGGATGAAGATGACAACTCCCATGATTCCACACTCAGTCACGGCGTCATCAAACTATGCCTTTGTCTCTTTGTTTATTTTGAATACGCGCCCTCTAGCGGTGAAAAATTACATATTGTGCCTTTAACTCATATTTATCATTCAGGTATTTATAGGGGCAAATGGTTGGCAATACGTTTGTACTGCCACTGGCATTTTGTCCAGTGTTTGCATTTTGACCCAAACTGATACCCGAGCCACTGAATCCAGGGAGTGTATAACAGCCATCATTGTGGCCTTTTCTGATGATCTAATTAAGACTGGCTTCCCAGTCAGAGGCAGCACAGCTATTACAGGCTCCTGCAGCCCGACGGCACTTCAATCTGTTTTTCACACATGGCGTAATGAACACTGGGGCATTCAAACTCACCAGAGCCCTGCGCAGATGGGGTTTGTTTACACGTTATCGTGAGGTTCTCTTTTCTTTTTGACTTCTTGTGGTGTGGAAACTAGCTTTGATGTGGTTTGAACCCAACAGTCTG